TAGATATCAGATATTATGTAGTATTAGCCAGGCAAGCAGTTTTTTTCTGTATGATCAAACAATACTTATTAGTCATTATACATTTTAAATTTTTTTATGATTAGTTATTTCCAATTCAATATTCAGTGGCATCAGCCAGGAAAGTGAATATTTTATGCTAGATATTTTCACTTCAATTTTTTCATTTATTCTTTATAATATACAGGGTTTCCCGAAAGAACCGGAACGGCCAAATATTTCAGCAACGGCTTGACATAGAATTATGAAATTTGGAATACGGGGGTAATCAGTTGTGCCGGATCTAAAAATAATATTTGCAACGTCGCCAGTTTTACAGTTTTTCCTATAGAGCCCTCAACTTAATTTTTTCAAATGTAATGCTATGTTTATTTTTAGCGGATTCCATTTGTCGTCTCACAACTACTATGACCCTATGATATCAAATTTGTAATCCCTTCATTTTTGTTATTATGACAAAAGAACATTTCGTCAAAAAATATCACAAAATTTCAATATTTCGAGAAATCGTGGCGATATGACAATAAAAATTAATTTATAAGGAAGTTTTCAGCAAGTCTGATCTAATAATACCATTTACAACGTTCCAAATCTACATGTTGTTTATACTAAATCTTCCTAAGTATTTATTTAAACTGCCTTTTTGATTATTGAGCATTTTATTTGATGCCATGAAGTTACATTCTTGTAAGCTAAACAAATCAAACCCTATTGATCATGAGAAGCTATCAAGAAGTTTATGAATTAGTTTCCAGAGAAACAAATAAAAAAATCTGGAGTTTGCCAATCTATTAAAAAGGCAGTTTAAATAAATACTTAGGAAGATTTAGTATGAACAACATGTAGATTTGGCAACGTGTAAATGGTATTTTCAGATCAGACTTGCTGAAAACTTCCTTATAAATTAATTTTTATTGTCATATCGCCACGATTTCTCGAAATATTGAAATTTTGTGATATTTTTTGACGAAATGTTCATTTGTCATATCAACAAAAATAAAGGGAATACAAATTTGATATTATAGGGTCATAGTAGTTCTGAGACGACAAATCGAATGCGCTAAAAATAAACATAGCATTACTTTAAAAAAAAATAAAGTTGAGGGCTCTATGGGAAAAACTGTAGAACTGACAACATTGCAAATATTATATTTAGATCCGGCACAACTGATTACCTCCGTATACTAAATTTCATAATTTTATGTAAAGCCGTTGCTGAAATATTCGGCCGTTCCGGTTCTTTTGGGAAACCCTGTATAATGCTAATACCATTGTTTGTATGTATATACATTGCTAATACTCGCCATCCCACATAATTATACAGGTTGATCCAAGTTAACCGTCATTCATGGATTTACGTTGAAAGGCGATAGAAAAACGAAAAAATGTAGACTTTCATGAAAAAACTTCAGAAAGGCTTCCTAACAAATATACAGGGTGTCAAAGTTTTGGACAAAAACTGGTTATCTCGTCATAATTTTTCAAACTACTAGACCGATCTCAACCTAATTTCGCCGACAGACTAATGTAAAACATCTCTGACTCTCTGAGTGATGATTAAAATCATTCAAAGAAATTCTCCATTGGCGTAGATTAACGATGGTCAGCATCTCCTTCTCGCTCTACCAATCTCTGGTGTAAGGATATTTAACAAGAAATATAAAATTTTCGGATTCCTTATTGTTTGATTTCTATATGTTAGTATTTGGCAACTAGATGCGCTACTGCTCAGTGGAATGTGCTTAGATCAGAGCCTATGATAGACGTGTGTGAAGACTGGCTCATACAGTGTTCGGCAGGCAGCCGAATTAAGAGCAAGTGTAACCCTTGTCCATGTCATTTGTGCTCGTGTTTATTGAATTGTGATCATAATATAACACTATACAACCATATTTTCAGATAATAATCTATATTCCGTCAAAACAAGAGTTTTTTATTTCAAATAGGATAAACGAAATTCTCATGTGTCGAACTCGATGTGAAATTTTATTATTTGAATGTGTGAGATATTTTTATCCACGAATATTAGAAAATGTTGACATTTGGTGTCTCAGTGCATGATATCAAAATATTGAATTTTTATGACATTTTGACTGGCGGTAGCAGAAGTAGCTTTGCTTTTTAACTACATTGTCATCAACGACCGAAAAAAAATTGTGGTGTTGTTCACATTATGTCTACTTATAGTATAGAATTGGAAGTGATCACTTTCAATACTTATCAAAATCTGATATTGAAGATTCAGTCCCAGTCTCAGACAAAGAAGTAATTCTGATCTTATATAGGAATAACTAAAATTGTTGCCTAAATAGCAATTAACACCGCTGATTGCCTAGCAACCCTGCTCTTGCTTGTGAGAATGCCAAACTGTCCTCATGAATTGTATCAACAATTGTGACTATTTTAACATTCCCATGTTGTTTACACCAGCGACCGAGCCAGCGACAGCAAAAGTAGAATTGCATGAAAACGTCTCAATTTCAGCCGACAACGATCGAAAGCGAAAGTGAATACCACAATCTGATATTAGTGAAGATTCAGTTCTAGCCCAAGACCAGAAATTACTTTTGATTCTAGGAACTAAAAGCGTTGCCTAGCAACCCCAATCTTGCTTACCACTAGTGAAAATGACAAACTTTTTCATGCATTGTATCTACAAAAGTACAAAATGACACTATGTAATTTTAATCCTAGGAACTGAAAGCCTTGCCCAGCAACTCTACTCTTGCTTACCGTTGGCAAGTGGTGAAAATGACAAACTTTTTGATGATATTTTCACCGGCAACGTCTAAGGTAACGTTATTATTGCCGACAGAAAAACTAACTCGTGGCGTTCTTTACTGTTATTGCCAACGTTGAGTATATGGAGTTGAAGTGATCATTCTCAGTATCATGATCTGATATCATTCCGTAGATGCTTTTTATAGGTATTTTCATGGACGATGCTCTTCTGAAATATCAAGAATTGTTCCTCCCTTGGCAGTCCCCGCGAGATTAACCCGTCGAGTTGATGCTTCGCACCCCTTCTTGGTCACTTTGGAGACCTGCAGAACATCTCTTTCCAAAGACTCGTTCATCCAACGAACAGCGAGGCTCTGGAACACATTGCCAAGGGAGGTGTTCCCCGAGGCATATAACCTCCAGAAATTTAAGAAGAACACCAATTCCTACCTTATTTCCCCTGGTTCTCACGATGTTCTCTGAACATTACAGGATATTCCTTTTCGTGGGAACCAGAACAAAAAAAAATTCGAGCTTCACTTCTAGCGTAGGACGAGAAAGTACTTTTTATCCAAGGAACTGAAAGAGTTGCCTAGCAATTCTACTCTTGTTTACGACTGGTGAAAATGACAAACTTTTTTATGAATTGTGTCTACAAAATGTCACTATTTAAATATTCCCATGATATTTGAACCGGCGACAGCAAAAGTAGGGTTGCTTCGACGCCGACAGAAAAAGTAAATCGGGACCTTGTTTACTTAGTACCAACGTGAAATACATGGAGTTGAAGCGATCATTCTCAATATCATAATCTGATATCATTTAAGCTTTAGTTCTAGCGTAGGACAAGAGAGTACTATTTATCCAAGGAACTGAAAGAGTTGCCTAACAACTCTACTCTTGCTTAAGACTGGTGAAAATGACAAACTTTTTTCTATGAATTGTGTCTACAAAAGTTCACGCTTTTAATATTGCCATGATGTATTCACCAGCATCAGAAAAAGTAGGGTTGCTTGGCAATGCCACAATTTCGACCGTTAACGGCCGGAAGGAGAAATAAATCGTGGCGTTGCTTATTTACTGCCAACGTGGAGTATATGGAGTTGATTTAATCATTCTCAATATCATAATCTGATATCATTTGAGCTTTACTTCTAGCCTAGGACGAGAAAGTACTTTTGATCCTCGTAACTAAAAGCGTTGCCTAGCAACCCTACTCTTCCTTACCACTGGTAAAGATGCCATACTATTTTTTAATGAATCGTGTCAACGAAATCTCACTATTTCAATATTTCCATGATTTTTAAACCAGTAGGGTTGCTTGGCAACGCCACAATTTCGACCATCGACTCCGACAGAAAAAGTAAATCGTGACCTAGTTTACTCACTGCTAACGTGAGATACATGAGGTTGAAGTGATCACTCTCAATATCATGATCTGATGTCATTTAAGCTCTAGTTCTAGCGTAGGACGAGGAAGTAATTTTTATTCAAAGGAACTGAAAGAGTTCCCTAGCAACCCTACTGTTGCTTACCACTGGTGAAGATGCCATACTATTTTTTAATGAATCGTGTCAACGAAATCTCACTATTTTATTATTTCCATGATATTTGAACCAGCGACAGCAAAAGTAGGGTTGCTTGGCAACGCAACAATTTCGACCATCGACGCCGAAAGAAAAAGTGAATCGGGACCTTATTTGATTACTGCCAACGTGAAATACATGGAGTTGAAGTGATCTTTCTTGATATCATAATCTGATATCATTTGAGCTTTAGTTCTAGCATAGAAAAAGTACTTTTTATCCAAGGAACTGAAAGAGTTGCCTACCAACTCTTTTCTCGTTTATGACTGGTGAAAATGACAAACTTTTTTCTATGAATTGTGTATACCAAATTTCACGATTTCAATATTCCCATGCTATTTGGACTAGCAACAGAAAAAGTAGGGTTGCTTGGCAACGGTCGGGAGAAAAAATAAATCGTGGCGTTGTGTACTTACTGCCAACGTGGAGTATATGGAGTTGAAGTGATCATTCTCAATATCATTTAAGCTTCAGTTCTAGCCTAGAAAGTTCTTTTGATCCTCGTAACTTAAAGCGTTGCCTAGCAACCCTACTCTTGCTTACCACTGATGAAGATGCCAAACTATTTTTTTTATGAACCGTGTCAACGATATGTCACTATTTGATGATTGTCACTGCCTGAGAACGAACGAACATTTCTCACGAACTTTACGAAAAGAATCACTTCGTACTTACTTGCTTGCTCGTACGAGGAAAGGGAAAGAAGTTAGGGTGTTCTGTGGCCGCTGGACAGTCCGTTGGAATTTGAACGTACGACTTTTATATCTATTATATTTATCGGGATCGACTCTGCATGCCCACTATTGCCCACGTACGAACGGGGAAACCCTTTCCTGCGCATCCCTTTATCCCTTCTACCAGCAACATCTTCAATGGGATCCCTTCCCTTGCGGTTTTCCTAATTTCCTATCACACTGATAACGCTAATCACGCTGTCGAAATAACAGGTGATAAGAGGAGATGAGGTGTTGTGAATATTTCATGACAAGGGCGGTCCTAAGGACCTAAGGTGAATTTCTAGGGGGGGAGGGGGGTGATAGCCATTTTTGTGATGTTTTTTAAAACTAGGTACCGTGAAAGGTGGTGGCTTGAAATTATTTTGAACTTTCAAGAGTGATAAATATTAGAGAAGAATTCGATTTTTATATCAAATTCAAAAGTCGAATGAAGCGATTCAATGAAGAACAATTTTTTCGTTGAATTCATTGGTAGCTTTTTTGAAAAATACCTGTCATTTCAAGTCACCACCAAGAAGTGGTACCTTGAAATATGCTAGAAATGCGCCTTGTTTTACATAGATATCTCATGTTGCGTTGTTGTTCAGGTGTCTTGAATGCACACTATGTTTTAAAAAATATAACTAATGCAGGAGTATTATTTTGTCTTCTTGGTTCCATGTCGCACGATGATTCTACTCCTGCTAGGATCATCGCAGAAATTCGTCTCATCGTAATTGAAATGCCATTCAAACTAACCTCTAGTTTATCGAAATATTCATCAATAGGCGACTGGACTAATTTTTTTATTATTTCTTGGATAGAATCATTACTCAAATACCTTTCAGTTTCATATCTTTTTAGAATTTTTCTGTCGATATTAAGGTGCTAAAATAATGCCACGGTGATTTTCAAACGGCTAGAAATTTACCGCCAGTGAAAATTGACGCCACGATTTCGTAAGTAGGGACAGACCATAACACAGTTGCTATGTGTTCAAATACGATTGGGAACTCCAGAAATATCAGTTATTGAATAATTCATAAATTCTCAATTGAGTATTGGTAATATTCCTACTTAGCAATAAAAATTCAATTGCCTCAAAATGTTCCCTTTATGATTTGTGGCTTATTGCTTATTGTTAATAATAATTATATTGATTCACACTAGAGGACATTTGAATCGGCGAACGTGCTGACAACCCCGCGCATGACTTGTGGGCGTGGTCTTGTCAGTTCTCAGCATTCAGCACAATGTTGACAAGTCTCCAACATTCACATGATATTTTGTTATGAAGAATAAGAAATATTTGGACATGCTGGTTGCTCGGAAAAGTCCTATTATGTTTTAGTCAACGACAAGACTCAAACATCTTTTCGATAACTTGATTATGATTTGTGACTTGACTACCTTGCTTCATGGGTGGAAATGGAAGATTATCTCACCAATAACGAAACAGCATGAAAACTACATCACCATTTATTCGACGTACCGCCAAATGGCGGTCATGACGTTACTTTTGAAATGAGTTATGAATATCAATGTCAAAAAAAAATTATACTACATCTCCTCTGGTTTATTTTCAGTGTAAATTGGTGAATGGATAACCCCACTCTGCAGCAATGAGTATAGCGTCCTCTTTGGCACTCTCATCCTCTTTGGACAAATGTTGTTTTTCCACCAGGTAGGTGACGTGGTATGTTTATGTTTCACTTTCCTGAAAATTGTAGCGACAGGAATACCGAATTATTTCTCAAGATCTACGTTTTCCTTATTATCTGATTGAAACTTTTTATAATCTTTTCCTGAAAATTCTAACATAGTTAGCGAAACACGTGTTGAGGTGTAAAAAATCGGTTTGGTTAGTGGTAAAACAGTGTGTAGTGTATTATCGTACCAAAGGTTCCAGTCTTCGATATAACATACTCTTTGTTTGATTATAAATAACCTTAGAGCCACTTTTTAGTTCCCAATACAATTGATTGCTGGAATTCATATTTACGGCAATAATAATAATATGCAGGCTATTTTACTTACACTGAATCGGAAAGACCGGCTTGCCAATGCCTTTTTGTCAAAACATCTGTATTTCGCTTCTTATTGATTTTTGAGTTGGTAGATGGAACCATTATTGGAATGGTTCGAAAGAATTAGACACTTCTTCCAGAATGACACTAGTGCGTAGGCGCCCAATAAAAATTGCCGCAATTTTTTGGAAAATTACGAACTGAAACTGCCTTTATGATTTGAATTTCATTGTTAATTGTCCTGTTGATTTTAGATTCACCATTTTTTTCTATGAACAAAATTCAAAAATATTGATTTGTTAAGATGCTCTGGGGGGGGAGGGGATAAAACGTAAAAATGATCAAATTTGAATCATTGTAACTTTCGATTGCCTCGAAAGATTTCCGATTTGTTTTCAGTTCATGAATTTTGTAGCGTCTTAGAATAAGATCTTATCCATAGAAAATTAGACCCAAACCGTCAAAGTTATTAATATTACAAGTAGCGAGAAGACAACTATTTATGGAGTGCCACAAGGGACTGTGTTGGGGCCATTATTTATTATTTATAAATGCGTAAATTGATAATATAAGATCCTTAATTATTTGAAGTTTTGTGCAGATACAAAAGTTGTGGCATACGCTGATGACACTGTCGTTTTATTTAGTGCTGATTCATTGGAAACCGTGAGAAAAAATGCTGAATTTGGAATGAAGATTATACAGGGTGTAATTTAATTGAAAATATAGGATATGGTTCCTCAGCTCATTTCAAGAAGAAGAGTTCAAAACATATGCAAAACCTCTTGACTTTCGAGCCTTAGGGTGTTGAAATTTAAAAAAAAATCTTTTTTTTTCATAACTCCAATAATGTTCTAGATATTTTCATGAAATTTGAAATGTACCTACTGAAAGCACCTTGAAGTAGTTTGTAGGTAAATCTGTTTTTGTCTAATTTTTATTCAAGTAAAGTCATTAGCCAGAATAGTTCTTACGCGAAAAATGAGGATTTCGAAATATTTTCATTTGTTTTCGGAAAAAACGAGGGCGTACCAATTTTTTTAGAGAAATCTCCATTGTGCATCCCATACGGACGTCAATAAAAAAAATATCAAACAATCTTCTGCATCAAAAAATACCTATTGGTGTCAGTAGGTGCCTAGTAGGTGCCTGTCAAATTTCATGAAAATATCTAGAACAGTATTTTCATATAAACTTTTCTTCTTAAAATTAGCTGAGGCTCCATATCCTTCATTTTCAGCGATCAATTGAATTACACCCTATATATCAAGAAATGAGCAAACGTCTGATACCTATATATAGGGTGGAGACTTTAAATGGAATAAATTCGCTACTGCGGGAGTGAATGCATTTTCTGAATATTCGCGATACCTCAACGTTTTACCTACATTTGGCGAGCAATGTGGAGGATATAACCCTTCAGGGGTAGCAGGAATCTACCCCAACATGTTTTTTTCAAATGCAACCCTATGGTTTGCGACCCCCCATTGGAAAGCTGATTGAGGCAGGAATCCAGCGTACTGATCATATTTCAGTTTGCAGTACGTTTGGGGATCGCATAAAATCGAAATATAATTTCGAAGTTCGATATATTTTCATCGTATTATCATCAAAATTTCGACTTTTAGTGCCAGTGATATAGGGCATCTCCACCAGTTTGCAATAACACTTCGCTTCGAACTGTGAATACAGCAGAAAACCTAAATTTATTTTTGTGCCTCTATGAAACCATTGGAATACAATAGACGATAGCAGTTATAGCAAAAAATTGACATCAATTGTTCAACACTCATTTTGAGCAATGGATACGTTGAAGAAAAAAAGAGATTTAAAATAACATTTCAATTTGATGCAACCTTTGAACGTATGATAAACTGAAACTAGACTGGTATGCTGGATTCCTCTTTCCACCAGCTTTCCAATGAAGGGTCACAAGTCATAGGGTTGCACTTGAAAAAATCATGTTGAGGGTGGTTGCAGCTACCACTGGAGGGATATATTTTCGATATTCCTTGCAAAAAGTAGGTAAATAGATTAAATCGTTGACATATGTTGGAAATTTCCAGAAAAAATATTCACCTCCCTGCTAAAGAATTTATTCCACTTAAAATCTCCACACTGTATAGGTAACAGTGAATCTGAAGCAAACAAAATCTATTACTTTCTCGCTAACCGAATCAGGCTATCCAAATATTAGCAGATTGAAAATACATTTCAAAAATAACTGCGCATATAATTGTGACTGTGAAGATAGGATAGAAGAGGTCTATGGAATTGAATACGTTGGCATATTCATCGGGTTTTGAAATGGAGTGAGCATATCAATCATATTTTCATGGACGATGCTCTTCTGAAATATCAACAATTGTTCCTCCCTTGGCAGTCCCCGCGAGATTAACCCGTCGAGTTGAGGCTTCGCACCCCTTTGTGGTCACTTTGGAGACCTGCAAAACATCTCTTTCCAAAGACTCGTTCATCCAACGAACAGCGAGGCTCTGGAACACATTGCCAAGGGAGGTGTTCCTCAAGGCATATAACCTCCAGAAATTTGAGAAGAACACCAATTCCTACCTTATTTTCCTTGGTTCTCACGATGTTCTCTGAACATTACAGGATATCCCTTCTCGTGTGAACCAGAACATACAAAAAAAAGTACTCTACTTAGATTCAAGATGTTGGTGAATATGCTGTCCCAACGTACTATTTTTCGATATAATAATAATAATAATAAATATGTTTATTGAAGTTCCAAAATATACATAAATATATAATGTAGATAAATAAAGAAGAAGAACTTCAAAAGGCAAGAATATTGGCTGAGCCATTTTTCAATTCCGCCTGTATATGCTATACAATTGTGTTTCTGGAGTAATAGGGAAGATAATCGACTAAATTCAGAAAAGGAATGTTCAAAAAAGATGAGGCTAAAGTGTAGTTTCAATTCTTACTTGATAATGTAACTGTTACACTCTATATACGGGGT